CTCTCCCTCCTCCCCACATACTCCTCCTTTTGCCCATTTCACACAGAGTTCACTCCCCACTCCTCTCCCTCCTCCCCACATACTACTCCTTTTGCCCAGGTCACACACACTCCATTACCCTCTCTTTTGCTCTCACTGCCTGAAGATCTCGTTTCCCCCTCCGCCACTGTCTATGGTCTTCTTTCTAGTTTCACAGCCACATCTGTATACTGTATACAAATTTAAATCAAAGGTCTGCATATGAAAGAATGCATGTGGAATTTGTCTTTCAGAATCTCAATACAAAGATTTTTTTTTATTAAACACAGTGTGAAATACTCTTTACAGCAATGCACACCTAGAAGCCTACGCCTCTTTAAGAAATTATGAATTACATTTTTGAATGTGCTGAAATGGCTGGTCTCAGCTGGCTCCATCACATGTACAATATCACACTACACATATGCAAATACTAGCTTTTGTTGGCATAGCAACACAACAATAAACAAAACCAATTGATGCTTTTCAGGATGTTTTCCACAAAGAGGTCTGTGAGTCATAAGACATGGATCCAGTCTTCACTCAGCTACGTCCCCTACCTTAACACAGCTCTGGTGTCTATCAACTCCTGTAACTCCTGGGTGCTGCTGCCTCTTCTGTAACTCCTGGACATTGTTACCTCTTCATCCAGTCAGAGTTTCTCTGTTTTCTCATTTCCTTGTTTAATTCCACATAAAATGCTTTTCTAGATTTCAAAAAAAAAATACTCTCCTCAATACTCTACTCATTTTTTTCTGTTTGAACAGTTCATATCAGCATATCAGAGTGCGTGACACATAACAACAGTGAGAGACAGGGAGAAGAGGAGGGAGAGGGAGGGGAAGAGACACAGACAGGCAGGCAGACACAGGGAACACAGGGAGACAGATAAACAGATAGACACACACACACACACACAGAGAGAGAGAGAGAGAGAGAGAGCTCTGAATGAGGGAGGAAATGCGTTTGGCAGGCAGAGGTGGCAAACCTGCCCAGTTTCCTGATGCTGGGAAATATGTCAGCTTGTTCTCAGTACTGTCAAACTATAAATGGATTTTTCTGAAACGGAACAGTATCTTGGCTCTATCTATTAAAGAGGCAGCTTCAGGACCACAGCCGTTTGCCAGCATGAGAACACACATGTAACATACCCAGACTCTCGTCTCTCTTTGTGGTGTACTGCTCATCTGTGAACACAATACACGAATCGTGTTCCCGAGCTCCCGTGATTTTATCATTCTCTTGAAACATTTCCACACTCATCTCAACTTCATGTTTACCAGGATTTTCCTGAGATGAAAATAAATAATGGCACTGTCTAGACAGAAATCCAGACTGGAGACTTCACTGAGTTTTGAAAATCCCCATTAAGGAAGCAAAGTTTTAGGTGGGTCCCTTGGGACCCAGTTAACTTCATGCATGAAAAACAAAAGTCAAAAATTAATTATTTTCCCACTTACTGTCAGTGTCAAACGGTTCATTAATAATTTCCATTCGTGGTGACATAATGAAGCTGTATTTCTTCTGTGAGAAAAGCATCTCACCTTTGATGTTTAAGTGGAAAACAACTGAAAGCAGTGTGTTCATGACACCTTATTTTGCTTATTTATAGTTTTGTCTTTATTATTCTTATTCAGTTTTATTTCCTGCAGGGAATCTGTGATCAGCCTTGATGTCCATACATTGTGCTGTGAACACACACATCCTCTCCTGTTCTCTCTTTGTCCTCCCCTTCCCTTCATTCCTCTGGTCCCCTTTCATTTACTTAACAGTCCGTCCTCTATATTCAATGGGTCCACAATTTCTAAGTCTAGCTCCCTTCACTCAAGGTTAACAACTTCAATTACATCAAAATGTCTACATATAAGATTTGACTCTTCATGGATGAATGCTCCATAGAGTATATATTCCACACGCCATGATCCATTCATCTGCTGACAGGCGTCTAGTCTGGTCCCAAATACTATTGCGAGTAGTGCTGCAGTAATCACGGATGTGTGCACCTTCATGCCTGCAACTCTGTCCCAGGAGAGCTACAGCTGGATCAGATGGTAGTGCTAGTCTCAGTGTTTAGAGGAATCTTTCCCTTACTGCTTTCTATAATGGCTGCACTGGTTCCTTCCACCTCGTGGATTCTTATGTTTGGCACTTCACGGTTGCTAGGATCATCTGGAAGAGCAGCAAGTGTCTTAGTAACTGGACCATCTCTCCACCCACCTTTATTGACGTTTGAATGTACTATTTCCAGCCCTTTCCCTCTATCCTTGACACTCCTTCTGCTTGGTCTCAGCAAATAGTGATACTTCCCATTAAGTTTTATTTAACTCATTAACTCATTTGATTTATTTAATTTCCCCATATATCTATATTTTATCTGAGTTTCTAGTCATGATGCTGATTTCATCATCCGCTGTGCTGACTTCTTCACCGTGTTGCTGACTTCATCTTCCATGATGGTGAATTTCATCATCTATGTTATGGCTTTTTCATGCATTTCTAAGTTTCTTCTCTAAACCTTGAACTAATTTCCTTACTCCATGCTGCTGCTGCTTCTTCTTCTCCTCCTCCTCCTCCTCCTCCTCCTCCTCCTCTCCTCCTCCTCCTCCTCCTCCTTCTTCTTCTTCTTTTTCTGCTTCTTCTTCATCTTTGTATCCTCTTTAGAATAACAGGCTAGTTTTTCATTTTCATGTAACTTTTTGGATTCTTCACCTGTTATTTTACACATGTCAGCAATGGAGGAGAGCCGATCTTTTTGAGGACTCCTGTTGTCTTGTTTTTTTGTTTTGTCTTGTTTGGTTTTTGTTTGTTTCCTGTTTTCCTGTGTGATGGTTTGCATACATACTGGCTTTGTTATTTACAGATTTTGAGTACTATTTTTTTTTTAAATCAGGGAGTCTCCTCTTAAGGACTCAACTCTCAGGACAAACCAGAGAGGAGAAAGCAAACTGCTACAACAATAACAATGTCAAGCTGGACAACATATAAAAACACATACAATTAATTCCACCCCAGTAACACTATAGAAGTCAGTAACCATAGAACTCAAATGGAAGGCACTGATGAACATGGTTCTACAATGCTAGAAGTCATTTATGGTAGATGTAGAACCAGATGTGTGACTGAGATTGAGGTGAGGAGAAAGCGCAGGAGAGGCAGGGAAGGGCAGAGGGTGAGGCTTTTATTTCTATGTCTTATTTTATTATAATGATTTTATGTTTTATTTTCTCCTTCCTTGAAGGAAGGAAAGAAGGAGAAAATTATCAGCAAGGAATAAAAATGAACAGAATCCCCAATAATAAAACAAGAGCATAAGCAAAGTTAGATACATGTAAGGAAGAGAATAAAATTTTTTAAAAAAATAATTTTTAAAAAGCTATCTTTCGTAGATTAAAATGGGATGAGAAAAATTGCTGATCATGTAAATGCACTTGCTGCCAAGCCTGATTTCATGTATTTAATCCCTGGGACTCCACAGTGGAAAGAGAGCACTGGCCTCCGCACAGACATGCACCATCCCTACACATATAAATAATAGCAAAGCATTTAGAAATAAGATAAAATAAATATACCAGTAGAAGTATGACTGTGTATGGTCATCCATAACCAATATGTTCCTCAAT